CCCATGAACCGCAGCACGCCAGGCCTCCCTGTCCATCACCAACCCTCAGAGCCACCCAAACCCATGTCCATCGAGTTGATGATGCCATCCAACCATCTCATCCTCTGTCGTCCCTTTCTCCTCATGTGCTCAGTGTTTCCCAGCATCAGGGTCTTTTCCAATAAGTCAGCTGTTCACATCAGGTGGCCAAAGTACTGAAGTTTCAGCTTCAGCATCAGTCCTCCAATGAACACCCAGGACTGATCTCCTTTAGGATGGACTGGTTGGACCTCCTTGCAGTCCAAGGGACTCTCAAGAGTCTTCTCCAACACCACAGTTCAAAAGCATCAATTCTTTGGTGCTCAGCTTTCTTTATAGTCCAACTCTCACATCCATACATGACCACTGGAAAAACCATAGCCTTGACCAGACAGACATTTGTGGACAAAGTAATGTCTCTGCTTTTTAATATGCTGTCTAGGTTGGTCACAACTTTCCTTCCAAGGAGTATGCATCTTTTAATTTCATGGCTCAATCACCATCTGCAGTGATTTTGGAGCCCCCAAAAATAGTCAGCCACTGTTTCCCCATTTATTTCCCATGAAGTGATGGGACCAGATGCCATGATCTTAGTTTTCTGAATGTTGAGCTTTAAGCCAACTTTTTCACTCTCCTCTTTCACTTTCATCAAGAGGCTCTTCAGTTCCTCTTCACTTTCTGTAAGGATGGTGTCATCTGCATATCTGAGGTTATTGATATTTCTCCCGGCAATCTTGATTCCAGCTTGTGCTTCATCCAGTCTAGCGCTTTTCATGATGTACTCAGCATATAAGTTAAATAAGCAGGATGACAATATATAGCCTTGACGTACTCCTTTTCCTATTTGGAACCAGTCTGTTGTTCCATGTCCAGTTCTAACTGTTGCTTCCTGATCTGCATACAGGTTTCTCAAGAGGCAAGTCAGGTGGTCTGGTAATACCATCTCCTTCAAAATTTTCCACAGTTTATTGTGATCCACACAGTCAAAGGCTTTGGCATAGTCAATAAAGCAGAAATAGATGTTTTTCTGGAACTCTCTTCTTTTTCAGTGATCCAGTGGATGTTGGCAATTTGATCTCTGGTTCCTCTGCCTTTTCTAAAACCAGTTTGAACATCTGGAAGTTCACGGTTCACGTATTGCTGAAGCCTGGCTTGGAGAATTTTGAGCATTACTTTATGAGCATGTGAGATGAGTGCAATTGTGCGGTAGTTTGAGCATTCTTTGGCATTGCCTTTCTTTGGGATTGGAATGAAAACTGACCTTTTCCAGTCCTATGGCCACTGCTGAGTTTTTCATATTTGCTGACATATTGAGTGCAGCACTGTCACAGCATCATCTTTCAGGATTTGAAATAGCTCAACTGGAATTCTATCATCTCCACTAGCTTTGTTCGTAGTGACACTTCCTAAGGCCCACTTGACTTCACATTCCAGGATGTCTGGTTCTAGGTGAATGATCACACCATCATGATTATCTGGGTTGTGAAGATCTTTTTTATACAGTTCTCTTGTGTATTCTTGCTGCCTCTTCTTAATATGTTCTGCTTCTGTTAGGTCCCTACCATTTCTGTCCTTTATTGAGCCCATCTTTGCATGAAATGATCCCTTGGTATCCCTAATTTTCTTGAAGAGATCTCTAGTCTTTCCCATTCTATTGTTTTCCTCTATTTCTTTGCACTGATCACTGAGGAAGGCTTTCTTATCTCTCCTTGCTATTCTTTGAAACTCTGCATTCAAATGGGTATATCTTTCCTTTTTTCCTTTGCTTTTTGCTTCTCTTCTTTTCACAGCTATTTGTTAAGGCCTCCTCAGGCAGCCATTTTGCTTTTTTACATTTCTTTTTCTTGGGAATGGTCTTGGTTCCTGTCTCCTGTACAATGTCACGAACCTCCATCCATAGCTCATCAGGCACTCTGTCTATCAGATTTAGTCCCTTAAATCTATTTCCCACTTCCACTGTATAGTCATAAGTGATTTGATTTACCTCATACCTGAATGGTCTAGTGGTTTTCTCCACTTTCTTCAATTTCAGTCTGAATTTGGCAATAAGGAGTTCATGATCCGAGCCACAGTCAGCTCCCTGTCTTGTTTTTGCTGACTGTATAGAGCTTCTCCATCTTTGGCTGCAAAGAATATAATCAGATTTTGGTGTCGACCATCTGGTGATGTCCATGTGTAGAGTCTTCTCTTGTGTTGTTGGAAGAGGGTGTTTGCTATGACCAGTGCGTTCTCTTGGCAGAACTCAGTTAGCCTTTGCCCTGCTTCATTCTGTACTCCAAGGCCAAAGTTGCCTGTTATTCCAGGTGTTTCTTGACTTCCTACTTTTGCATTCCAGTCCCCTATAATGAAAACGATGTTTTTTGGGTGTTAGTTCTAGAAGGTCTTGTAGGTTCATAGAACTGTTCAACTTCAGCTTCTTCAGCATTACTGGTTGGGGCATAGACTTGAATTACCATGATATTGAATGGTTTGCCTTGGAAACGAACAGAGATCATTCTGTTGTTTTTGAGATTGCATCCAAGAACTGCATTTCGGACTCTTTTGTTGACTATGATGGCTACTCCATTTCTTCTAAGGAATTCCTGCCCACAGTAGTAGATATAATGGTCATCTGAGTTAAATTCACCCATTTCAGTCCATCTTAGTTCAGTGATTCCTAGAATGTCAATGTTCACTCTTGTCATCTCCTGTTTGACCACTTTCAATTTGCCTTGATTCATGGACCTAACATTCCAGGTTCCTGTGCAATATTGCTCTTTACAGCATTGAATCTTGCTTCTCTCACCAGTCCTATTCACAACTGGGTGTTGTTTTTGCTTTGGCTCCATCACTTCATTCTTTCTGGAGTTATTTCTCCACTAATCTCCAGTAGCATATTGGGCACCTACTGCCCTGGGGAGTTCATCTTTCAGTGTTCTATCCTTTTGCCTTTTCATACATGGGCATGGGGCTCATGGGGTTCTCAAGGCAAGAGCAACAAATCTAACATGGTTAAAATTATATAGACAATTATTTTAATTAATAGATCTTATATTTTTTAAGTCACTTTAAGTTTATAGGAAAATTGAGTGGAAAGTAGAGATTTCCCATAAATCTCTTTATCCTCCTCTCTCACCACAAAGTTTCTACTATTATTAACTTTAAAAAAAAAGAATACATCCATCACCTCACAGTTGCCATTTTTTGTGTGTTCATACCGTCTTCACAAGGTAAAGAATCTGCCTGCTAATGCAGGAGATGCAGGTCCGATCCTCAGGTCAAGAAGGTCCCCTGGAGAAGGAAATGGCTACCCGCTCTAGTATTCCTGCCTGTGAAATGCCATGGACAGAAGGAGCCTGACGGGCTACAGTCCATGGGGTAGCAAAAGAGTCAGACAGGACTTAGCAACTAAACAATAACCCTCTTAACAACTTTGAAGAATACAATGCAGTATTTTGAACTACAGTCACCATGCTGTATATTATAAATCCAGGACATATTCATCTTATAACTAAAAGTTTGTACCCTTTGACTAACATCTCCCCATTTCCCCCATCCCTCAATCCCTGGTTTAGCTAACAAGCTACTCTCCATAGAGTTCAGCTGCATGTATAAATGAGATCATACTGTATTTGTCTTTCTCTGACATTTCACTTAGCATAATACCTTAAGGTTTCATTCTTGTTGTTGAAAATGGCACTATTTCCTACTTTCTTACTGCCAAATAATACATATATGCCACGTTTTGTTTCTCCATTCAACCACCAATGGATACTTAGGTTGTTTCCATACCTTGGGTATTGTAAATAAGGCTGTATGTAAATAAGTGAACATGGGAGTGAAGATATCTCTGAGACAGTGATTTCATTTCCTTTGGATGTACATCTAGAAGTCAGATTTCTAAAACATATAGTAGTGCTAGCTTTAATTTTTTATTAATTGCCACACTGTTTTTCATAATGGCTGTACCAATTTACATTTTTACCAACAGTGCATAAGAGTTCCCTTTTCTCCACATCCTTGCCACCACTTGTTATTTCTTGCCTTTTGGATAAAAGCCATCCTAGCAGGGGATATCCTATTATGGTTCTGATTTTCATTTTCCTGATGATTACTGAGGTTGAACACCTTTTCGTGTACCTACTGTCTGTTTCTATGTCTACTGAAGTCCTTCGCCATTTAAAAATCAGATTATTTGACTTTTTGCTATTTATATATGGGTTCCTTATATATCTTGAATGTATGGTTTGAAAATAATTTCTGCCATTCTGTAAGTTGCCTTTTCATCTTGTTGATTATTTATTTTGCTATGCTGAGGCTTTTTAGTTTGATATATTTCCATTCACTTATTATTTTGTTGCCAATGCTTTTAGTGTCATAAAAAAAAAAAATCATTCCCAAGACCAGTATCATGGAGATTTCCCCCTATGTTTTCTTCTAGGAGTTTTATGGTTTCAGGTCTTACATTTAAATGTTTAACCATCTTGAGTTTTTTTTAATGCCAGAACCATACTGTTTTAGATGTTCACATAGTTAAATAATTCCCAAATTTTTCTATTGTTTTTCAGATATCTCCTTCCAAAAGTTTGATAAATATTCACTTCTGTTCTTCTTGTTTTAAATTGCTCATATAAATTTGACTCAAACCAACTGGAATTTATTTTGATGTTTTTTTAATACATAAAAATCTATATGATTTTTTTTCCAAACTGCTAAACAACTGCTCCAAAATAATTCACTGAATTACTTTTTCTGTTGATTAATGATATGTCCTTTATTTCTTTCACATTATATTCAAGTTTATTTCTGAGCAATCTTGTGCCACTGATTATTTCTTCTTGGCCCAGTATTTAGGCATGTTTATAACTGGAAGTTATATTATAATATTCTTTAATTCTAGTAGGACCAAATTTAACAGATGGTTTTGTTTTTTCTTTTTTTTTTTTTTTTTTTAGTTTCTTCTCTTTACAGGTTTATTCAACACAAAACAACCTCTTACAACTTTACTGAGGTGGCTGACCATGTCCATGACCAAATCCACCTCTAAACTGGAACCCAGTTGCTGACCCAGCCCCAGCCTCGGCTTTCTTGTCGGCACCAGGGGGCACGGCACTTCGTCTGTAGGTGTCTCTGTCGGCTTCCCCTCGCGTGAGTCTTGCAGGTCGCTCTCCCTCCAGACCTTTGGGCCGTGGCCGGCCAGTCTCAGGACGGCTGCGGCGCAGGGTGGCGGGCACAATCGCAGGGGGCAGGTGGAGGTAATCGCGGGGATACTGGATGCCCTTGTTGGTGAGGTACCAGTAGAAGTGTCTCCAGGCAAACTGTTCCTTCACGTAGCCTCGTGACTTGAGAGACTGCATGGCTTTCATGACATGAAGATTGGGCACATTCTTGTCTGCCAGCTCCGGGTGCTTGGGCATGTGGACATCCTTCTTGGCCACCATCACCCCCTCCTTAAAAAGGAGTTCATAAATGGCAATCCGGTTCTTTTCAGGCATCAACATTGCGACGGCTGCTGTGTCCGGGGCCGGTGCTGGAAAGGTAACAGATGGTTTTCAAACATATTTTGTTGTTTTTCTTCTAGAAATATTTTCATTGGGGATTATTTGCTAATTGTCTCTGTTTCAAAACAGTGCTATAAAAAATTTACAACACAGTCATAGAAAAATGCAAGTAACATTGAAGTGTATAAAGCAAATAAAAAAGCCCCCTTCCTTCATGTTCCTTTAAAACTCTCAGTTCTGCTCTTTGGCAGCCACTGTTGACATCTTTTTGTGTGTGCATTCTTCCAGAAACTGTCCGTGTATAGATTTATAAAAACATATATAATATCTAGTTCCCCATTCCCAATTTTTACACAAATTGGTTCATATTCCACATTCAGTTCTCAAACTTGTTTATTCCCTTCACTAGTCATAACAGTGGCACATTCCTTATCCAGAAAGTACTCTAAAACAACTTGTGAAGTTCCAGAACATTCCATTGAAGTTTTGTCTGGAATCGCACCAACTCCTATGCAAATGAACAGTGAACTTCCTTGACTCCCTCAGCCAGCAGATGCCTCCTCTTGCCCCTGGGTCTTGCCTAGGAATTCAGTTCCTTTCTGTCCCACTTCACCTTGGTAACTCTTAACTACCCTTCAAGTATCAGCTTGTGATATTTCTCCCCGTTTCCAATATACATTTTTCTTATATCCAGTGCTTTAATAAAATCATATTAATTCAATGGTTTTGGAAATTCAAATGAAGTTTCTTGATGTAAAATAATATAATTTGCAAATAATGAGAGTTTACCTATTTCTGGTTCATCTTTATTGCATTAACCAGAACTTCCAAAGCAATATTAAGTGGTAATACCATAATATTACATCCACTTTTAATAAATATTCTTTTTGTTTTCACTTAAAATCTAATATCTACTGGTGGTTTGAAATACATACTCTCTACCTTATTAACGAAGTGACTATATCAGTTCAGTTCAGTCGCTCAGTCGTGTCCAACTCTTTGCAACCCCATGAACCGCAGCATACCAAGCCTCCCTGTCTATCACCAACTCCCAGAGTCCACACAAACCCATGTCCATTGAGTCAGTGATGCCATCCAACCATCTCATCCTCTGTCATCCCCTTCTCCTCCTGCCCTCAATCTTTCCCAGCATCAGGGTCTTTTCCAATGAGTCAGCTCTTCACATCCAGTGGCCAAAGTACTCAAGTTTCAGCTTCAACATCAGTCCTTCCAATGAATATTCAGGACTGATCTCCTTTAGGACGGACTGGTTGGATCTCCTTGCAGTCCAAGGGACTCTCAAGAGTCTTCTCCAACACCACAGTTCAAAAGCATCAATTCTTCTGCACTCAGCTTTCTTTACAGTCCAACTCTCACATCCATACATGACCATTGGAAAAATCATAGCCTTGACTAGATAGACCTTTGTTGGCAAAGTATTGTCTCTGCTTTTTAATATTCTGTATCGGTTGGTCATAACTTTCCTTCCAAGGAGTATGCATCTTTTAATTTCATGACTGCAGTCACCATCTGCAGTGATTTTGGAGCCCCAAAAAATAAAGTCTGACACTGTTTCCACTGTTTCTCCTTCTATTTGCCATGAAGTGATGGGACTGGGTGCCATGATCTAAGTTTTCTGAATGTTGAGCTTTAAGCCAACTTTTTCACTCTCCTCTTTCACTTTCATCAAGAGGCTCTTTAGTTCTTCTTCACTTTCTGCCATAAGGGTGGTGTCATCTGCATATCTGAGGTTATTTATATTTCTCCCAGCAATCTTGATTCCAGCTTGTGCTTTATCCAGTCTAGCATTTTTCATGATATACTCTGCATATAAGTTAAATAAGCAGGGTGATAATATACAGCCTTGACATACTCTTTTTCCTATTTGGAACCAGTCTGTTGTTCCATGTCCAGTTCTAACTGTTGCTTCCTGACCTGCATACAGGTTTCTCAAGAGGCAGGCCAGGAGGTCTGGTATTACCATCTCTTTCAGAATTTTCCACAGTTTATTGTGATCCACACAGTCAAAGGCTTTGGCATAGTTAATAAAGCAGAAATAGATACTTTTCTGGAACGCTCTTGCTTTTTCGATGATCCACCGGATGTTGGCAATTTGATCTCTGGTTCCTCTACCTTTTCTAAAACCAGCTTGAACATCTGGAAGCTCACAGTTCATGTATTGCTGAAGCCTGGCTTGGACAATTTTGAGCATTACTTTGCTAGCGTGTAAGATGAGTGCAATTGTGCAGTAGTTTGAGCATTCTTTGGCATTGCCTTTCTTTGGGATTGGAATGAAAACTGACCTTTTCCAGTCCTGTGGCCACTGCTGAGTTTTCCATATTTGCTGACATATTGAGTACAGCACTTTCACAGCATCATCTTTCAGGATTTGAAATAGCTCAACTGGAATTCTATTACCTCCACTAGCTTTGTTTGTAGTGATGCTTCTTAAGGCCCACTTGACTTCACATTCCAGGATGTCTGGCTCTAGGTGAGTGTGAGTGATCACACCATTGTGATTATCTGGGTCGTGAAGATCTTTTTTATACAGTTCTTCTGTGTATTCTTGCCACCTCTTCTTAATATCTTTGCTTCTGTTATTATTTTAGAGAATATGAATGGTTTGAGTTTTATTAAATGCCCTTTTGGCATCTGTTGAGATGACTATGATTTTTATATGATTTATTTATATAATGTATCACAGGTAAAAGTTTCCGAATATTGAATCTTGATTTCTTTCCTGGAATAAAATCTCTTTGGTTCTCGGAGATTAAAAACACACGTTGTTGCTTTCTCTTTCTTGCATTTTGTTTAGCATTTTTTGCACTTATATTAATGAGAAAGTGAAAGTGAAGTCGTTCAGTTGTGTCCGACTCTTTACGAACCCATGGACTGTAGCCTACCAGGCTCCTCTGTCCATGGGGTTTTCCAGGAAATAGTAGTGGAGTGGATTGCCATTTTCTTCTCCAGGGGATCTTCCCAACCCAGGGATTGAACCCGGGTCTCCCTCATTGTAGACAGACGCTATACCGTCTGAACCACCAGGGAAGTCCTACTAATGAGAAAGGTTAATAACAAATTTTTTTATGAGTTGAGAGAAGTAGCTTAGAATGAGAGAACATCAGCATTTAATGGAGTAGCTAGTCTCTCAACTTAGGCCAGAAATGCCTTATATTATACATGAAAAGCAACTGATAATCTGATAGATAAGAAAGTACCCTGTGAATCTGACTAGCATGAATCCATATCATCTCATCATCTGTGGATGAATCAAATTTCCCAACCTGTAGTTCTTAGAAGGAAGAGCAGAGGTATAAAGTATAATAGGCATGAAGACTGCCTGTATGCAGTCAGCCTTACCAATTCCCACAAATTCCTAGGTCAAAGACCGTCCTTATTTTCAACATGCAAAAATATTACAAAATTACTTCATTATATAGACATCACAGTTTTCTTCTGCTTTTCAATTATTTTGACTATCTGAGGACTTAAACCCATATACTAATATCTTTTGGGGAATCTGCATTTCATTTGACTTAAACGAGTTCTATTTTTCTTTTTCCCATTCTGTGACACAAATATCTTTAAACGTCTGTTGTTTTAGGACCTCTAATATTCAGGAACACCAGCACTTTTGTAATGCTGAAGGCAATATGCAAATAACTCAGAGGTCATTCAACCTGTTCAAAGCAAGTTTTCCCTCACACACAATAACTTTCTTAACCATTTAAAAAAGAATTCCTGGTGTACCTCTAAACTCAAAAGAACTGAAGTCATTAAGTCTTTCTGAAGCTACAAAGGGACAACTTTGCTTTGATTTCTGGCTTAATTCACTGACTGATAACCCAACACAAATCTTTGGCTGAAATTACTTTAGCAGATCTATGCCAGGCATTAGTTATTCATGTGGCTTTGTAATAACATTCATTTTTCTAATTAATGTTCACTCTTAGGCATAAAAGCTGGGCTGAGAATTTAAATGATTCAGCTAGTGACTGACAAATGTGGAAATCATTCCTAGCTCCAATGATTCTGTTATATCTCTCTTCATATAACTTTCTTCAGGACATTAGTTCTCTAAAATTAAAAATATCCTGACAGAGTTACTTCTTTTGTATCTTTCTTGTGGACAGTGTTTCCTTTTCTTATAAGTCTATTTGAAAATGGTCAAAGTAGGCATAATGTTACTTTTATTTGTAGCAGCCAAATTATACATTACTTAACTTGGCTCACATAATTTATCCCTTATGCACAGAAATTACATCTATCATAATCACAACGCCATCTTTGCATTTGGGTAGAATATTCAGAAGATAAAAGGGGGTTACCCCTCCTGGTAAGATTATTCCTGCATAAGGATATGTGCATTTTTCAAGAGTTACACAATGTGAGGGTTTAACAATAAAGTAAATAACAAACTTCATTTCCCTAACGCCACAGGTACTTCCTGCAAGGCCAGCTAAAGTTATTAGTAAAGATCATAGAAAAGAAATGCCTCTAAATTATCTCTCAATTCTTATAGCACATTTTGTGCTTTTCAGTACACAAGTTTAATATTCCTGAGGAGTTTGCTACATATTAATAGAGTTACCCCCTTCATGGATTACTGCCTCATCTTGGTGAAGGGGCTTGTGTAGCTCAATAAAGTTATGAGCCATGTGGTACAGGGCCACCCAAGACAGACAGGCCATAGTAGAGAATGCTGACAAAACATGATCCACTGGAGGAGGCAATGGCAAACCACCCCAGTATACTTGCCGTAAGAACCTCATGAACTGTATATAAAAAGACAAAAAGATACAACACTGAAAGATAAGTCCCTCAGGCTGAAAGGTGTCCAATATGCTACTGGGGAAGAGCAGAGAACAACTACTAATAGCCCCAGAAAGAATGAAGTGGTTGGACCAAAGCAGAATCAACATACAATTGTGGATATGTCTGCTGATGAAAGTAAAATCTGATGCTACAAAGAACAGTATTTCAAAGGAACCTGCAAAGTT